TTCCCCTCAGTTACATTCTGAACTTTACACATTGATAATATTAATAATTCTAATAACACACAAATTCACTGTTTTAATTTGCTCTTACAACACAGCATCTAATCTATCAACCATGGTATTCTGTGATAAAAAGTACACAGTGTTATGAGACCGTCCCAGTAATGGAAAAAGAAAAATGATTTTTTTAAGAAAGCAAGAAAAAGTAGCCTGATCATAATATTTAGGTGGTCTCTTCTTTTACCCAGAGGAAGAAGCAGTTTTTGAAACTGTTGTGCTAATCTTCTGCAGAGCTCTATAAGTAAACTTCAGGTTTCTGGCTGTGCAGAGTGACTGCAGAGAACAGTGTTACTGTCGAGGAAAAACCGTTATTAGGACCAGATCTCACATCAGCGGATGGCTGCTACTTCCTACTTAAAAGTGATGCTTTTGTGCTTTTTGTTGCAACATTCCTCATCGCTGGAAGCCTGGTTGATGTCTGATTGAAGTCTGATTTGGATGTAAAGGTCTGAAATGAGGCAATCAAAGTCTTCTAAATACACACACGAGGGATCAAAACAGAAGCAATGCAAAATAAGTAATGGTAGTAATAAATACTTTTATTTATAGGATAGGTTCAATAAGTGAAAAGGAAAGGCGGTTCACACATACAGACTGGAAAATAAACAGCTTTGAAATCCAACAGCTTCATCTGCAGTGACGAATGATGGCTATGCTTCAGTTTTTATAATACTGCCACAAAATACAGGATTGAGGATCCAAACGAGGACAAGCTGAGGAAGGAAACACAAAACACACATTTAACAGAATACACAGAAGGACATAAATCTGTTACACTGAGAGTATAACAAATGTTGTGCCAAAGGAAAGACAGCAATACACACACATACTGTGAGGGATAATCAGGGGAATGGAAACACCTGCGTAGCATAGCACAGCTGACAACAATCCCGACAATGAGGCAAAGGAATTCAAGCTAGACATGAAACACAGACGATAACCAGCTGTCAAAATAAAACGGGAACCCAGAGTAACATATTCAAACTTGACAAAGAAGCACAGAAATGGGGTTGAAAACAACACAAAATAACAAACTCAGAGGTTACGACAATCATAATGCATGACACAAAGCTGGGAACAGGTGAAGTCGTTTTGAAGGGAATGTGCCAGTTATGACTTTACTTCACTTGTAATTACAGAGAAAAAATAAAATCCGTAATCACATTATTTTCGGGTTATCTTCTCCTGAGATGGAAGAGAAACAGAAATTAAGCTTATCTTACATTGCAATTACTATTGAAGCAGCTTGTCTATGCCTAGACTTCCTATATACGGTAGATTTATACTCGCCCCCATGACGACAACAAGAAAATGCAACAGGCAGAGAGATTAGCAGGTGTATGTGGCTTTAATATTGGTGTTCAGTAGATCCTGGCAGTCAGGGGCTTGCTGATAATCAGTATATGATATGGCTCTGGGACTGAAACCTAAAATGTAAACTCACTGTGGACAAAAATGATGACTGTGAAGAATCCAGCCACAGTGCTACTAACTTGTGGAATTAAAAGTATTGGCAATTATGCACTGCTCTAGGTAAACTAAACTATTCCCCTCCCAAAACAGTGATGAGCAATATTTCTGGTGTCACTCTGTAAAAATCCCCAATGCTCTTCTGTGCATCTTCAAATTGGAGTGACCAGGCAGCCAGCTGCAGGCCTTTTCATGTGATAGTATATCTGTACTGTACTGTGGCAAAGTACCAATATATAAACTATATAATGTGCAAACATACATGCTAATGCAGTACACAAAGCAACAACAGGAATTCTAGGAAGCTTGAATGTCATGATTTGGTACGACCACCTTTGTTCTTCACCATAGCCTAAAACTCTCTTTGGCAAGCTTTCTTGTAATGTCTTTAAGTAATCTTTAGGAATAGTTCTCCAGGCTTCTTGAAGGACATTCAAAGCTCTTCTTGTTGGTTATTGTTGGATGGCAGCTGCCTTTTGTCTCGTTTTCATCTTGATGACCCCACACTGCTTCAATAATGTTGAGGTACGGACTCTGGGGAGGCCAGTCCATGAATGGACTTAAAATCACCACCACTCTTGCTGCTATCCTCCTGTCACTCATCTTGACACTCCTCTTGTCACTCATACACCCTGCCTACACTCACACTACAGTGGCTTGCAAAAGTATTTGCCCCCCTTGAATTTTGTCACATTACAGCCACAAACATGAATCAATTTTATTGGAATTCCACGTGAAAGACCAATACAAAGTGGTGTACACTTGAGAAGTGAAACGAAAATCATACATGATTTCAAACATTTTTTACAAATAAATAACTGAAAAGTTGGGTATGCGTTCAACGTCCCTAAACATAAAGCCAGGGCAACAATGGAATGGTTCAAAACAAAACATATCAATGTGTTAGAATGGCCCAGTCAAAGTCCAGATCTAAATCCAATCGAGAATCTGTGGCAAGATCTGAAAACTGCTGTTCACAAACGCTGTCCATCTGATCTGACTGAGCTGGAGCTGTTTTGCAAAGAAGAATGGGCAAGGATTTCAGTCTGTAGATGTGCAAAGCTGGTAGAGACATACCCTAAAAGACTGGCAGCTGTAATTGCAGCAAAGGTGGTTTTACAAAGTATTGACTCAGGGGGCTGAATAATTACGCACACCCAACTTTTCAGTTATTTATTTGTGAGAAAATGTTTGGAATCATGTATGAGTTTCGTTCCACTTCTCACGTGTACACCACTTTGTATTGGTCTTTCACGTGGAATTCCAATAAAATTGATTCATGTTTGTGGCTGTAATGTGACAAAATGTGGAAAAGTTCAAGGGGGCTGAATACTTTTGCAAGCCACTGTATCAGGCTGGGGTCTTTGTGTGGAGTTTGCATGTTCTCCCCATGTTTGCGTGGGTTGTCTCCGAGACTCCGGCTTCCTCCCACATGCACTTAGTGGGGATAGGTTAATTAATCAGTCTAAATTGAGCATTAGGAGTGAATGTGAGTGCGAATGGTTGTTTGTCTCTGTGTGTTAGCCCTGTGACTGACTGGTGACCTGTCCAGGGTGTACCCCGCTTTTCGCCCTAAGACACCTGGGTCAGGCTCCAGCCCTACTGCGACCCTGAAAAAGGATAAGCGGAAGCGAATGGATGGATGGATGCCAACCCAGCTGCATAATCTGTCACGATCAAGCTCATTATAGGACATAAGGAAGGCGTGAGCTGTTTTAGATTTCTTCCAGCTAAGGCTTTAAGTTCATATCCGATAATAAAGTCCACATTAACATTGAACCAGCGGCTTTCAGCTTTAAATCAATATGTAACCCAAGGACTTTTAATGTTTACCCCAAAGTTAAGTATTTATTGACTGGTTTAAACTATATCTTAAACTATGAGATTTCATCACCAGTTTGGATGCAAGCGCACAACGTGACCACTAGGTGTCGCCCGGAGCCCGCTGATGGAGCCCAGAGCGTGCCCAGAGAACACCAGGTGGCTGGGATTAGCGGGCTTTTAAGATCCAGCAGTGGCGCTGTGTGGCTAAAGCCTGCAGTACTGTATGCGCACTTCAGGCCTGGAAAAAACAGAAAAGAAAGAAACGAAAAAAAGGCCCACACAGAAACTGATCAACAGCTGAGTGCAACTGCAACTGTTTCTGCATAGTTTCCTTCTTCCTGCCACTCACCACCACACAATCCGCTCCAGTTGGCCCGTTCAGTGGATGTTGAGTGTAAACATTCACCGTTTTAACCGCTTCCCACAGTCTGCTGTACACTGAGAGCAGACCATAGTGGCACAGTGAGCACAGAGACAGCGGGGAAATACCCAGCAGCGCGAGGAGTGTGCAGCTGTCAAATATTTGGTAAGCGGGTTTGCCTCGAGTCAGCTTTGTGCAGTTTTGAGGAACAATGGGAAATAAAAACAAAACAGGAAAGATTTTTTTATTTTTTTAGCAGCTGGATTCAGAATTAAGGCAGTCATCTCTAGGTTTCAGAGTAGAGAGGTGACTGGGCTTTATCAAAGCAGTGCAGAGGTCAGCTGCTGCCTGTCTTCTGGCCCACTTCATACCAAAGCTCATACAGTAGGCCAAGGCTGACCTTAGTGCATAGACTGAGGACTGATATAGCCCAGTGGAAGACATATCCTAGTAATTTACACCACAGCCCTGCTCCTGCTCTGTGCAGACTTGTGTATACTCTCAGACTGGGAGTTGGTAAGCCCCTTCTTCGTCAATGAGCACTCTCCCACGGGGAAAGGGAGTGCTGCCGAGGCCTCGATGCACAGCTCAAGTGTGGCTTTTAGGTTCGACTGCACCAGCCATATTCTTATGTCACTGGGTTTTTCAAAGCACATAATCCTTCTTATATAAATGCCCCTCTTTTTTTATACCCTAGATGAGACCAAGAGAGTACAGGAGATGAAGCAGCTGGATCTAAATAAAACAGGAAGAGTCAGTGATGCATGTTGGCATGAAGAGAAAGCAGTAAAGCTACAACTTTCAGTGGACCTCCTAGTGTGGCAAGGAGCCTAGCAGCTTTTTTGCACGCGGCCACAGTAGACTTAAAAACACAGGATACAAACAGTTGTGGTGATGAGTCATACTTCATAGGAACAGCTTATCAAGGCCTGAGTCATTAGACGCTTTCCCGCTCTCTTTAATTGCGTCCAGGTCTCATAATGTGGAGTCACTTTAACTTAACCGAGGCAGCAGTGCGAGTTAATATACGTCTCACCTTCCAGAAAGATAACTATTGATCCTCAGGTCTAGAAAGAGAATGATCTGTTATGGTGTTAGTTTTAATTAAATTAAATTAATTAAATTTAAATAATTTGTTTTAATTGCTCATATTGATTCTTTTTCCCCCACATAGAGCTGCCATTTAATCCAACTCATCTTACTCCTGCTCTACCAGCTTAAATCTTACACACGTTTTGTTGTTTGTTTGTTTTTTTAAACACACAACCTGTACACAATACAAAACCAATTTATTAAAAAAAATGTTTATTGACATCAGAAGCAATTTAATTTTCAACAATAAACAAGGTTTTTTGTCTTATTTTGCTATTACAGTGGTACATAAAGATCAGTAAAACAACTGTGATACGTCAATTTTGATAACATGTAATTTAAAATAAAAACACACAGGTGAAGGAGGAAAAAAAAGGAGGCGAAGAAGAAACACTCAGATCTAACTCAGAACATTTTTATGTGCTGTGCACCTCTAGCTAAGGTAAATACTGTAAAGCCCACCCCTTTACACTGTACCAGGTAGGATAGTGGTCTAGTAACTACCACTGGGGAAAAAAAAATAAGACTGGCAGAAAGATACAGACACGATACTTGTGTAGTGTTAACTATACAAAAAGGAGAAAAAAAAACTGTACAGCATAAAAACAACTGATATACACAGCCTTTTTTGTCGTTTTATTTATTTTTTTTTTATTTTTTACCCCTTGGATACTAATGAATTTTCTTTCAGTAAGTGAAGTGTGTACAAGGGGGTTAAATGCTTTATAAACAAGAAAATGACCACTTTATTTCACCTGCCACCTACTAATCATCATCCTCATCGTCATCATCCTCTTCCTCTTCCTCATCTTCGTCGTCGTCATCATCATCATCGTCTTTCTTCTCTGCCTTGGCCGGGGCTTTCGCTGGCGCACCGCTGCCTGGTTTGCCCTTTGCGCGATACGCCGCGATGTCCTGCAAGGGAAGAGCGAAAACGCGGTGAACCAGTGTCGAGACACAAAAACAGACAGCTGTCACCGAAGAGCTCAGTCGGCGTTCATATTTTACTCTTACCTTCTCATACTTCTCCTTCAGTTTGGCCGCCTTCTTCTCGAAGGGCTGCTTGTCCTCGGCTGCAGTGCTGTTCCACATCTCGCCCAGCCTCTTGGCAACATCCCCGATTGACAGGCCGGGGCTCTCGCCTTTCACCTTAGGGCGGAACTCTGAGCAGAAGATGAAGAAGGCAGATCTGGGGGGGACAGAAAAACATTTATTTACACAACTCACTCGCCATACATCTCACAAATCCTCAAATGTGGTTTTGCAGTACTTACGGAGGTCTCTTGGGGGCATTAGGGTCCTTGTACTTCTTCTTCTTCTTTCCCCCCCTCGCCGGAACGTAGTTCATCATCTCCCTTTCATATCGCGCCTTGTCCTGCCTGGCCATGTCCTCAAATTTGCCCTTCTCCTTGGCCGACATTGTCTGAGAGCAAAAACAGGCATCTCACCGACTGCACCTTCTGAGGCGTACCCAAGCTTATTTATTTCTTGTTTTGTGTTAACTCATTACACAACACCTGCACCTTTTCAGCTAAAGTCAAGAGGTGTAACCAACAACATCCTGCTTGTCATATATCCTTGACCCCTCAGCAGGACTACAAATTTCACTTTCAAAAAAAAAAAAAAAAAAAAGGACAACCCAAAACAAAACCTCAAGCTAAACTCTACTACCTTCCATCGCTCGGAGCACTTCTTGGAAAACTCGGCAAAGTTAACCGAAGCCTCGGGGTGTTTCTTCTTGTGCTCCTCCCGACAGGTCTGCACAAAATATGCATAGGAGGACATCTTCCCCCTCGGCTTGGTTGGATCCTTCCCCATCCTGGTGACAGTATCTAAAAACAATTAAAAAATAATAATAAAATAAAGTACATCAACTATTTAATGATGCAGTATTCAGTTGCAATATAATATTAAAATGTAATAAATAATGCTATGTGTCATTTAAATTATTAACTATATTATCTATAATAAGAAAATCATAAATAAAAGTGACCTACAATGTTTGTCCAACCCACACAATCATGTCTCTCTACTGACCGCACGCACTATATAAGTCACCCGCCCTCCCCGCTGTCAAACTGCACTAAGTTAATATCACTTAAGGCAGTCCTGTGAAATAACACCGCCCAAGACGGACGGAGCTGATGTAAAAAAAAAAAAAAAGAAAAAAAAATGTTTTATTGATATTGATACCATTTATTTATTTATTACAGTGGTCTTAACATAAAATCCGCGGTCAGCTCCTCATTATGGTGTTTTACCAAATGACTAAACACCGCTGCGTATTAAAGAAGGAAATCCCATCATCGCAGCCAGCAGCGATCATTAATGTGCGTTTGGTTTGCAGCGATAAATGTCCCGGAATAGCTCTCAAACACCGAACTGCAAAAGTTCAACTGCATGGTATAAACCTGAACCATCCGCGGTGCTATATGAGTGGATTGGGCGTTAAAAACAAACAAACAATATTTTCCTTGTCCCCCGTCTTTTTTTTTCTTTTGCAACATAAATATCCTCAAACCTAACCCGCAGCAGTAATAAATCACCTGAAAACCCTTCGTTTTACTCGTGTTCGTGTTTTTAATCGAAAGAAATAACTTTGACACAAAGAGACACAAATTGGAGACAAACACGTATTTATTGCAAATAAAACACTCCAAACTGCGCTTCCGTGACATAAACAATCATCTCTCGTAACTCTTCTTTGTCTCTTATTCGGGAAATAATGTGAAAAGCTTTCGAAAAATGTTTAAAAAACTGTTATTTTTCTCCCCCTCCCCTTTACATTTTCCTATTAAATGCTACTGTAAGTCCCAAGTAAGCTGCGTCGAGCGAAGTAGTAATGGCGCAAAGGCTCTCGTTGAGGAAAAGGAGGTCAACAACGACAGCAATATTTCTTCTTCCATTTTGTGAGAATGCCTTCTTCATGAAAGAAAGTCCCCCTCAAATGTCTCCTCCCGCCTCCCAGTTCGCTTTGCTACGCGACAAATATGTCTAGAAAGCCGGCGATCTTGACTAAATATTTCCCCGATTGATTCCTATTGCACTAGCCGCCTTGTATAGTAATACATTGGGTCTGTACTGTGTCTATGAGCGGGCTGTGCTACTGACTTGGTTTCTATGAGCTCCTAATGGCCGCTCGTCTTCATCCACTAACATGGAGAATATGGCTCCTTCTCTTTGTGTCAACGCTCAGCCATTGCACTGCACGCAATAGAGGGCAGAGCGACCGCGGCCACCACTTCATTTCAAGCCCCGATTTAAACCTTTTCCGAGCATCGGAAAAATCTCCCCTTGGTCTCGTTCGAATCACGAAAGATTGAATTTTCTTTTGCCGTCGTCACATCTCATAGTTACGAGTTTGTTTCTCGAGAAAACACGGTTAGAAAAAGTTGAACTGAACTGCGCCTCTGTCACTGGCTTCCCATTTGCCTCGCTGCCTTGTTTCCTATGCGAATACAGTCAGCCATTACAGTAAAGCGCAGATCGTGAGGTATTTTTTTTCGCTGTCTTCTCGGGTGAAGTGTGGCAAACAAACATTTGCACGGGTATATTTTGAGATGCTCTCTCTTTTTCTTAGGTTTTTATAAATTTTGATGCTCGTCTCCAGACTCCGCACGCTCCTCCGGTCTTCGCATGACAGCCGTTCAGCTTTGCAATGCACTGCAATGCCAATGGCTAGCTAACGGTGAGTCTTCTACCATTGTCGCTAACCGTGTTGTCCGCTAGACATTCCTGATTTTTTTCGCGATAACTACCATTTGATTCGACTCCATTTTGCGAAAACGACACGATTGTATTATACAAAATTATTCTTATTTAACGAAATCGACGCTTTGCGTCGAATTTCGTCAAGGTTAATTTTCAATTCTTCTTTTTTACTGAGCGTCTGGTCCTCACTCCCAGGCAGAGTAATGTAACGATACCTGCTTAGCGCCGGCAATTTTGTTGTTTTTTTAAGGGTTCCCCGCAATAAAATTATTTGCAAACAGTAAAAGGTTTCGCGTGTAACCGTGGCAGACATATAAGTAAGATATTTTTGAATGTTACCGTCATTTTCATCCTTACGGACACTTAAAATGTTCGTGTGTGTGATACTTACCCAGTGACTATCGCTGGATCTCAATGGTCTGCAATGGCTGTGTATGAGGGAGCACAGGCGATACGCAGTGTCTTCAGTCTTCAGCTCTCTAACATTACTCTCGGCGGGGCTCGCACGCCATTGGACAGCGCCCAGTCTGGCGTCCCTGCGATTGGTCGAAGGCTTTTCATTGTCCTAATAGAAGACGAGGTTCCATTGGTTGTCTTTTGTGAAACGTCACCGAAGTTTTGTGAGGCGCGTGGATACAAAAACATTTCTGTCCGAGCATGCTGGAGCTGGTAGTAGTGTAGTGTGTTTGCCATAGTATTGAATTCACTACGTTGAGCTCAGTGTACAGTAGGCAAGCTAAATGAATGAGACATCGAGGAGCGCTTGTAGCCAGCGAACGAGGCGGCCGTAAAATGTTGTCAGATTGTGTTGGATGGGTTGTACGTCTCCTTATCAACAGGCTCCATTGTGCATTCTGCACAATACACGTGAGCTTATTTGCAAATTATGTCTTTAAAAATGTATAGGGAGGACATTGCAAATTCCCGTGTAAAGGCCATAAAGAGCGATTACCCGTCCCACGCGTGATAGTTACGTCCAGATATGAAATTTAGAAAAAAAGATTTAGCTCTTAGTATGAATGAAAACCATAGGAATTCAATGAATGGCCTCCCTTGTGATCAGTGTATTAACCATAATTGTCATTTATGCCCATGATCGACAGAAAGTCCCTGCATTGACACTACTAAACCGTGTTTTCTTATTCTCTCTGACAAGTATCGATAATTATTAGTTTTTTAAGCACTCATTCTGTGCTTTTGACTATGTTTGCTTAAGACCCAATATTAATAGTAGGATAAAATGGAGCTGGAGATAATAAATTATGGTAAATATATTTAATGGGAAATTAATATGCAGATCTGTCAGTTAATGTTTTTCTACACAGTATGTTTTTTATCCTAATATTTTGAGGTCTCATATACATTACCTGATTAGGAAATGGTCATGTGCTCATTGTTAATTAAGACTTATGAAGATCAAAGGGCGGCTGCTAAGTTTAAAGCAAAGGCAGTAAATGAGCATTTTGACTGACTTTATTCATTCAATTATTTATTTATTTTTGCCCTAAAAGATAGTGAGTTTTTACTTGGAATTTTAGATATAGTCCAACAGGTCTGTATGATGAGCCGAGTGGGCAGAGGGCTTCTTACTCCCAACACCTGGCACGTTGTTATAATAAACATAATACAATTGTCATAGACTCAAATTCCAATACATCCAAAATGGGGGGAAACAAACAAACCCAGGAGTCTGTTTGATTTGTCTATTAATGAGTGCTTTTCAATCTAACCCACTCTACACAGCAGGTATAGTACATATAGTGCATATGCATGTACAGTGTATATATATTTTCTATATTAATTTTGCAAGCTGTTTTGTTCAAGATTATCCAATATTGTACTAACAGTACATTCCTAATTTATCATTTATTACCGATTGTCTTACAAAATATAGCATATAACTTATTGTATATGAGGTTTTAAAGGATTTTGTCACTTTTCCCTGTACAATATGCATCTGTTACACATTTTCTTTGTATTACTCTTATGCAGCTGAATAATGTGTCTGATTAGTACAGCCAAGAGGTGACACAAATACATTTTCTTGTATGTCTGATTAACAGACTGGGAAATATTAGATTCTGAACGCAGTGCGCATGGGGTAACCTAATGAGCTTTAGTGCCAAGTGGCGTTGCTCTACCACTACCATCAGATAGGGAGTAGATTAATTTATTGAGTGTGCCTGTTTAGCATGGCCTACCTTATAACATATACAGACATGAAAATTGCTATTATCCTTGATAATACAGCATAATATGCAGTTATACTGCATTATATTCAGTATAACAGTGTGTAACTTAGAGTTATAAATAATTACCCATTACACTACCAGCACAGAATAACTGTGCAGAAGAATGAGCTGTATAGATTCAGATCATCAGTCTATAAAATGCACATTTTGCCACTTTGGGACCTCAGCTCTAGCGCCACCATTAGACAGAGTTATATGGAAAGTTATATGGAAATAAAGGCAAAAAGAGCCTCCACAGAGTAGAAAAGACATTCCAGGAGTGTGATTTTAGTCTGTGACAGAGGCCCTTCCTAAAACGACTTGTTTTGCACTGAGTGGATTCAAGCCAGTAATGTAATTTGACTTGAAAGGTTTGTCTGTGTGTTTGCATGTGGCTGGTGAAGGGGGGTGGGGTGCTTAAATAAAGAAAGTGCCCACAGTCTCTCATGATTTCAAATATAACCACATCCCTACAGTAAATATTCCTTTAATTGCGCATGTTTAAAAATGAATGAATTGTTTCTTTATATGTTTAAAGAGAATAAATAAACGGCTCTTCTTCTTAGCAGCTAACATAGAAACAAAGAAAAATGGCTGACAGAGTTTATTCTTATCCTTGAATTAAGAACGGGAAGGGTGAAGTGATTCCAAATGCCAATCACAACCCAGACTCAGGCCACATGTCTGCCAGTGATGCTGCCTGTCTGTGTCTCATTTTGCATCAGGAGATGCCACGGCGGAAAGCTATAGCCTGCTCGTGAGGCTAGGAGGCGGCCGGTTTATGCATTCTAATGAACGCTCCCTGGGAAAAATATGCAAATTCATTTTGTCATCAAGAGGAAAATAGAGGACAGGAGAGCAGCAGATACAGGAGGGGCTTAAGGGGGGGGCACATGCCATGCAAGAGGCGGGATTGGGTGGAGGGAGGTGTGTGTGCATATGTGTGTGTGGGTGGGTTGGGCGTGTGTGTGTATGGGGGGGTACAGGAGCCTGCAAGGGCTGGTATTATGAACTGAAATGGGGGACATATGTAAAATCCATCCCACCCCCACCCAATCAGCAAAATTAAGCATACAGTGGGCTGGCAAAACAACAAATCACCAGAGAAATAGTCGCCCTTATCATTCATTTACAAAATATGCTACGTGAAAAAAGAGGGGTAAATAAAGGCTGCTTTTTCAAATCAGCAGATTTTTAACAAGTTTGTTAAAATATCTGCCTAAAATATTCAGTTCTGTTGGTTATGGTTAATTCAGACAAGAAAAACTCACTTTGTGTGTGTGTTCAGATAGAGTGAAGGGGAATGACCGAATAAAATAATAAAAATAACAAAACTGCTGTTTAAGAACAACTAAAACAACAGCACACATTCTTCCTTGATAATAGCTAGGCAACTTTTTTTGGAGGTGAGCAAACGGGGCTCTCGGTGTGTCTTTATCCTATCCTGGGCGTCCCTGGCTACTGAGGCCTGGTTACTTGCTCAGTAAGTATTTCAGTATTTTAGGGGGTAACAATTGAAAACAAATATATAAATAATAGTAACATAATAATAGAAAAGAAAGAGAAGATATCACTGTTATCATTGTATTGATTACTGTGATAATAATAATAATTACAATGAACAGTAATAACAATAAATAAATTAATAAACTGTGCAATAGACATCCCCTATCTCATCCTACAAAAATAATATACATGAATAAAATATTATTAGTATCCTTAGTCGCGTAGTGTTGGTGATAGTATTGTGTCAATATAACTTCAGCCCACGTTATTGCAGTTCACTTGAACAGCCGAGTGGCGGCCGGCGGAACCATCAGTAATAGAGGGGGGGAAGACAAAGGCCGCTGCACAAACCGGCGGTTGGGAAAACGTTTGTGACACGAATCGATAGAAAGATGCACATGTACCCATTACACCGGCGGGACTTAAAAACTACAGCTTAATGTGCACCGACTTCAGTGTAACAGCAAATATAATTTAACATTTGTTTGGGTACGTATGATTTATTTATTTTTTTACTAAGAATCATTTTTACCCGCGAGTTAAGCGGTTGCCCGGCCTTAGGCTAAGCGTTTAGCATGCTAGCTTCCAGGTTCAAGCTGTCTGATAGTTCAGTCAGGGCATGCAGACTGGTTAACGGAACTGATTTTAACGTATTTTTTTTAATTTCCCAAATGAAATCACTATATCCTTACAGCATTAACAGGGTAATGTTAACTAAGCATTTTATTATAGAAGTGTTTTTTAAATGAGGTTTCTTTTTTTTTTTGGCTTGCTTGCTTATGTTAGTGTTAAATAGCTATCAAAGCTAGTTTTGCTGGGAAACCAATTGGTTCCTGGTTTGTGTCGTGTACTGTTATTGATCTAAATACCTTTGGAGAAAAATGCGGAGAAAACATGTGGGCAATATGGGTAAAGCCTTGCCAATTAAAGTGTATACTTTATATACTGTACCCTGTGAATGTTCTAGAAAAATGAATGAGACGCTCATAATAAATAAATTTAACTAATTTGGAAACTAATAGATTGACTTTAGCGGTAAACACAAGCATGCTACAGTCATGCCGGGAAAAGTAGAGTCCTTTATTGTAGTTAGAACCTTGTGGGGGTTCTTTTATAAATTTCAGAGAAGATCAATCTCTATACACTGTTGTTTTGGTCAATTAAATGTGAAGTATATATTTAAAAATGTATCCAAACCATCTGTAAGAACTTATAGGAAAGAAGGGCAGCTTTCTAATCTGTTTGAAAGATAAGTTCTGAATATATTTAAATTCCACTCAGTGATCATCATCTGTGCTGAGAGTCTATTGTTCTGCCTTCAGGCTGGCTGTAGATTGACAAAGATTAAGCGTAAACATTACACCAGCGAAAACATTAAAGAGTCACCTTTGAGCATTTGCAAGATTTTTCTTTTTTGGGGGTGTTTTAATGTATTTATTGTGTACATTTATTCCTTTAGTAGGTATGCTGCAGTATCGTGCCTGAACATCGTTATCTGCTAATATCATCCTTGTTGACTGCCATCGTCCTATTGGTAAATACAGATGGCAATAGTTGATGTTTATCCTTTGTCAAATCATTTTGTTTCAGCTAAATGTTTAAATATGGTTGAAATAACGTAAAATAGCTGAACTATATTTTTTATGAGTACGCTATTTCCCTGCATACAGTGGGGCAAAAAAGTATTTAGTCA